ATTACCTTTCTTAACAGCATAATCTTCCTACAGATTAAACCCTGTCTATCAGTTCACCCATAAACGGCTATCTGTTCTCTCACCCTTAGGGATCTATTGGAGTTTACTGGATGAATCTCAAATATCAGAGCAATCACTGCCTGGTCTGAGTGGCATTCCTCTCTGCACTCTCAGCCATGTTCCGCTTCATTTGAGCCGACATCCGGCCAGAGAATGATCTGAGCGGCCATAGTAGTCTTCCCAGCCATTTTGTGGGCGTCTGGACATCCTGGGCTCCTCTGTATTCATTAGCAGGCTAGTCACAGAGATGCAATGGAGCATATCCTCTCAGCAGCCCAGAGGGACTGTCAGCTGAGTGACGGAGACGGATCGCAGGTGGACCACGAGGAGACCTGCCATAGATTAACTCATCTGCCAGCAGGGGGACTCCATGGTGTCATTTGTTTTCAGCTCAACAGATAATTTTTCTAATTAACCTTTAAATGAATTTCTTTATGTCGCATTCACAGTGTGGAAAGACCATCAAGCACCTGATGGACTTTTCTTTATTTCCTAGGTTATTTACAAAATAACAAATGTCTTTTCTTCTACAGTATAGAAGAAGAAGTAGCCCTTCAGCTGTGTCTCAGCTACTTTTGGTCAGATGTGTATGTGTGTGTGTGTGTTCATTGTAGGCGCCAACTGCAAAATATTATCTTGGTTTCTTGCTGCTGATCCAGACCTAGACTGTCTGTTATTTAAGTGAGAGTGTAACTATGCCAGTATTTCTATCAGACTGCACCCAAAAACCTGTTATAAAAAAGTAATTTCATTTACAGTGTCAGGTCAAGTTCCAGACAAAACTGGCAAACTGTAATTTTTACACCAATTAATTAAAGCAAGACAAGGCATGTTAAGTAGTGATCGCGACTGTACAGTAGGTGTTGGCAGGTTGATTTTGGACAGAACCAGTCAAACTGTTCCTTCTGGTTCTAGTTTGTTTTCTGGTAAGCATGTAAAAAAGTGTATTTCCCAAAATGCCAAACTAAAGTGTGTAGCGACCTATTCATATTTATACACTGGTCTATATCAGTACAGGCCATAAAGTGCACTTCAAACTAACCAAAAATATATTTGTTTATTTGTTCAAATTCTCAGGCTTCATTTACAGCACACCGCGAAGATCTGTGGGTTTACCTATCTCTCAGAGTATAACCAAGTCATGACATTCGGTGTCA